CGGCCCTGCAGGAAGTCCTCCTGCTGCGGGTCCTTCTCTAGCGTCACGAAGAACTCGGTCACTTCGTTCTCCTCCTGGGGGGAGAGGGTGACACAATGAGGGGAACAGCGGCCAGTTCAGGTCAAGTCTCAGTTCAGCTAGCTCTTGGCTATGGAGGAGCAAAACAAATCACAGCTCTTTAGGCTCCTGCTCAAGCCAGGAGTGACACACCTCAGACAGTGGCAGACTATTCTGGAACACGAGCTGACAGGGCTGATCACAGAAGGTACACATTGATCACCAATGTGACAACGCAAGGAAGCCCGACATGAACAAAAGCAGAGGAAAAAGCGCTGACAGGAACTCAAACTGATTTTCCCTTGGTTTTCTCTCTCATAGGTGCGGAAAGGTCTATCCAGAAAAAAAAGCCACTCACAGGGTAGATGATACTGCAGAGCCTCTCGAAGATGAACACTGGGGTCCTGTAATCGTCCAGACTGTAGCGCTTGGCGGTTTCAATGCATACAGCCATGAAGGCCTTGGTTTCTGATTCCGTTCCTAAAGAAATAAAAATGTTTATTTCCACCTGAATCTTCTGAGTTTAAATACCAATTTGTTTTGAGGCATCTGGATGCAACGACTCATTTTTTGCACACCATGTTGAGTGATGGGAGTGAACACTGGAAACCCAGAACGGGGCGATTTAAATACTGTTGAAATGTTCACTTTAAAAGAGAAACTGCAGAAGGTCTGTTCTTCAGCAGTCAGAATTGCGGGCAGATGTGCCAGCGGCAGGTGGTCACCTGTGGTCATGTCCTCCAGCATCTCCAGCAGCATGTCCTGGGTCTCGTCTATCAGCTTGGTCCTCTGCACCACCAGCTTCCTCAGGCACAGGTAGCCGTTCAGCACCGTGCCAACCAGCCGACTCTTGAAGTGCCGCTTGATGGACTCCACCTCCACGAAGGAGGACAGCAGGCCTGCCAGAAAGGAAAAGGCACCTCCATCACCTTCTGCTGGCCCACGCTCCTA